GAGCCCAGCCCCAGCTGAGCACAGCCACCTTTCAGGAGCTGTGGGGAGTGCTGAGGTCAGCCCTGAGTCTCCTTTTCTCCAGGCTGAGCACCCCCAGCTCCCTCAGGGGTTCCTCACAGGGTTTGTGTTCCCAGCCCCTCTCCAGCCTCGTTGTCCCCTCTGGATGCATCCCAAGGTCCTTCCCAGGTTGAGGGGCCAGAGCTGGGCACAGCCCTCGAGGTGTGCCCTCACCCGTGCCCAGCACAGGGGCAGAATGAGCTCCCTGCTCCTGCTGGCCACACCATTCCTGATCCAGGCCAGGAGCCACTGGCCTTTGGCCACCAGGGCACACTGCTGGCTCATGTCCAGCCTGCTGTCCCCGTTTGTGCCTGGGCACTGCCCAGCCACACCATCCCCAGCCTGTTCTGACCTGGTTATGTGAGCAGCCTTGGGTAACCCACCTGCCCTGGGGCCAAGAATTTTATAAAGGCCACTAAACACGGCTTGGCCAGAACTTTAAATCACATAAAGGGAACACTCCAGTCAGTAAATTACTGGAGCAGAAATCCCTGAGCTTAATCAGAAAGGAAATTCTTATTGATACAGTTAAGGTGCCAGACTACTTAACTTCAATGACAACACTTGGCCAGTGTAATTAAGATGCTTTCCTTTTCACTGCCCTGTTTTTGTTCCAAATAGAAATGATTTAACTACAGCTGGTTTGTAAAGCTGTCAATACAGCTGTTCTTCTTTTGACAGAAACTGCTTGCTGCTGCTCAGAGTGTTTACAGAAATAACCTGGTTTATGCCATCCCAATTCAAATCAGGAACAAACCTGGCCACTGTCCTTGTCCCCTCCTGCAGCCCTCCAGGGCAAATTTTTAGGTAACAGCATGAATCAGATGAAACAACTGTGTCTGAAGTGCTCTGGGATAAACAAACTCAGGAACTGCACAATGCCAGGATGAGAATGCCAGGACTAAAATGTGGGAAAGTCAAGATTATTCCTGCAAGGCAGAAACACATTCACCTGCACTGCTGTGTGCAGTCACACCAATGCCTGTGCTGGTTTTGGCTCTGGGTGTGATCCTGGGGAGGATTCCTGGGGGCACTAAGCATGAACAGGGCTTGGATGGGATTTATCCTGCCCTGCTGAAGGTGGTGCTTTGGGATCAGGGATTGTGCAAGTTCACACAGGAGTTCTGCTGATGCTGTCTCATGAGGAGAGGATGGGCTCAGCAGCAATGCTACAGTGGAAGCACAAGCTCTGATGTGTTTATTGATTGTTTCTATTAATTGTGTTGAAAACTGTCAGGCAAATGGTTGAATTGTTTTCCTGGAGAGAGGGAGATGTGATTTGGATGCTTCTCCTCAATATTGTAAGGATCAGGAATGGGACACTTCTCAATCTGCTCTCTACGTGCATTCATTTTGTCCTAGCTGCAAACATTAACCGAAAAGCCCTGCTGGTCTGGTCTTACCTCTCCATTGAGAAAGCAGTACAGAACAGCCACCACAAATCCCTGGGGGAAGGAGAAAACAAGATTTTAGCACTACAGACAAGGAGAGACTGTAGATCCATTCAGCTCCCAAAGGAGCTGAATCACACAACCATAGAAGAGTTCAGGCTGGAAAAGTCCTCTAAGGTCATCAAGCACAGCAATTCCCCCAGCACAGCCAAGTCCACCACTGACCCATGTCCCCAAGTGCCACATCTGCACAATTTTTGAACACTGCCAGATGTGCAGTGATGGTGATGTAGTCAGGCAGTCAGATTCACTGCTGAATCAAACTTGCTGCTCAAAGCCCCATCCACCCTGGCCTTGGACACGTCAATAATACAAAAACTGAAACAGAGGTGCTTCTTTTTCTCCCTTAAGTATGAAAAAACACAGAGACACCAATGTACAGAGGAACATTATCATTTCTTAAAATGAGGGAAGAGAATCTCCTTCTGGGAGGCAAAATAAAAATTTATCTTTCATCCTGGCCATGCTGGAGTGAGTAGATTTTCCACAAAGGTAGAAGAGTAATATGGGGCATGTCCAGGAAAAAAGCATGACCAGCTCATTGCATTTTTCCCTGGTGACAGACCTAGTGACAGACCTGGTGACACAAATGGTGGCTTACCTGGAATGACCCAACCACCAGCTCAAAGACCAGCTTCACTTCTGCTTTGAAATTGTCGGGGAAGAAAGCAAACATGATGTAGTGAATGCCAAAGAGAGGGATCAGCAGCAGGGTGGACTTGGCCAGCCTCCTGTTGGAAAGACAAACATGAGCCACGAGGGGAGAGGGATGAGGGTAAGAAACTGAGGAATCCTGCAGCTGAGCCTTGAAATAAACCCTGAAAATTTATTATTTTTCCTTGTCTCACAGACTGCAGATGGCTGGTGATTTCAGACCTGGTGGCACCACAAAATGTTTATGACATTTTTATTCCCAGTAGCTCCACTGGAGGTATTTCTTTCTCCCTCCTCTCTTCTTCTCCTACCACCAGAGATCTTTTTTTCATCTCCACAAGCTAAACCATCATCTAGCAATGTCTTTGTTTGCCTGGGATTTCTGAAAATTACAGCTTCTGGGAGAGAAATGGTATGTTTAGCTCAGAATAATGACAGGCTACTGCACAATGAATGTCTCCAAAGGAGGGGGATGAACAGTATTAGTGCTTAATGGCATCATGCTGGGTAATCAGGGGTCTAATTGGGAAGAGATGATAATGTATTAAATCTAATCATTATTTAAAAGTAGCTGGCAGAAAGAAAATGAAATCAAGGGTCTAAGGATGCTTGTGGGGGTTTTGTCTCCCTTGGCCACTCGTATCCTCTGACATCTCTCCCTCTTTCAGAGGCTCCTGGAGGAAATAAAGCTAAGGCTGGGATGTTGGAAATACTCATTTTTCCACCTGCAACCTCCAAAGCCTCATCAGGCTCAGACCTCTCAGACCATCTTCATTTATTTGCCACCTGCAGGAGCCCACTGGGAGGCGGATGTGGCAGCTTTGTGCAGAGGATGCTCATCCCTGTGCCTCCCAGAGCTCCTCTGTAGCTCTCCCCAGGCCTGGCCCAGAGACAGCTCAACATTAAGGCTGTGATTGGAGGCTTTGGCTCACCCCAGGCAAAATAAGAGCCTGCAGGAAGATGAGGAACTTTACAGGAGTTCATCTTGCCCACCTCCCTCACTAGCAGGCACATCTCTGCTCACAGGGATCCAAAATCTGAGTTCTCTTGGGTGCTTTGCTCTGGCACAGGACTGCCACAGTCTCTGGTGAGCATCAGTGTTCCCTGTTCCTCACTGCAGAAGCAGCCCTGGCCAGTGGGACCCATGCTGGCATTACCAGCCCTAATCCCCCTAGCTGTGTGGGAAGTGGGAAATTCATTTCCCAAGCAGTTCAGTGAATATCAACAATGGCTTTGCAGAGATCTCTCCTCTCTCCCCAGTCTCTGAGGAACATCAGCCTAGAGAAGGAGATGTGGGGCTACCTTCGTGTCTTGCATTGACAGAGATGCTGTTTGCAACCTCCAGTGGATTAGAAAATTTTATCTTAAAATTGCAGACAACTCTGGGGCCTTAATTACAATATTTTCCATCCTGGCTGGACTGTGGTAAAGAAAAGAAGATTAATTACAAAACTTGAGCCCCCCTCCTCCAATCTGCACACCTTGCACCAGTCTCTTGCTCCCAACACCGAGCTTCACCAGATACTGAGTTTTAGACTTTGTTTTGGCATCAAGGCAAGGGCTCTGTGATTTTTAAAAGACTCCACCACCCTAAACACTGCACTCAGGAAAATCATCACCCAGTCCCAGTGTAATTTCTCCCAGGAAGCTCAAGCCTGGCTGTGCAGGAGGCAGAACTGCTTGGGGGATTGTCTAAAGGTGGTTAAATCTGCTGGAAACTATGGATTCTCAAACCCTCATTACTCTGATTCCCAGCACACCCCAGACCTCCCCTCTCTGACAGGTGACAGGTAATTTTGGGAGAACACGTGTCCATTAACCTGCACAGAACCTGCTCCTGTCCTTGGGAGTGGCCAAGAGTGGACCAACATTTCAGCCACGCTCCTTGAAATCCTAATGGAAAAGTTACTCGGAAGTTTTAATGACAATATTGATCCACAGACAGAATGGAGAGATGAATTTTGCTCAAGTTTTTTGTTGCAGAAGACAAATTTTATTTGCCTGAAATATTGCTGTCCCGTTCTTGCACGTGTCCCTGTCATTTCCACAAAACTGTTTTGGGAGACTTGTTTTTAGAGCTTCCTGTACATGAAAGCCCAGTTCCCTGTCTGCAGCATTAATGAGGGAGTCAGCAGCACACCTGAGCTTCCAGCCTGCAGCTAAGCTCAGACCTTTTGGAATTCAACAATGCTGTCAGCTTGTCAGCAGGCTGTGTGTGTAGAAAATAAACAAATCAAATACACACGAGAAGGAGGGAGAAATGGAAATGAGATATCCAGGATGCTGTTAGTTTAAAACAGATTTGTCTCAGATTTGGCAGGAGGACAGAATCACAGAGGCATTTGGTTGGGAAAGACCTCCCAGACCATTGAGCCCAAGCTGTGCCTGATGCCCACCTTGTGCCCAGCCCTGAGCACTGAGTGCCACGTCCAGACCTTCCTTGGACATCTCCAGGGATGGGGAGAACAAACTCTCTGGGCAGCCCCTTCCAGTGCTTCACAACCCTTTTGGTGAAGAAATTCCTCCTGATGTCCAACCTGAATGTCTCCAGGCACAACTTGAGGCCATTTCCTCTCATCCTGTCACTTGTTGCCTGGGAGAAAAGCCCAATCCCCATCTGGCTCCAACCTCCTTTCAGGGAGCTGTGGAGAGCAGTAGGATCACCCTGAGCCTCCTCTTCTCCAGGCTAAACTCCCCCAGCTCCCTCAACATTTCAGCAGCATTTTTTTGCTAAGAACTGTTGGGTCCTGCAGTCAAACCTCAGAAGCCTCCACAGATTACTGTCTAAAACTAAAAATCTTAGGACCACGCTGAGAACTCTCCTTGGTGGGGTCCAGCCTTCAGTTTCAGACAATTAATTTTTGTTTCCACAGGAAAGTGTGATGTGTTGCACCTAATGCAGTGAATTCAGTCAGAGTTTTCCAGATGTCCCAGCCAGATGTGGCTGGTGACCAGGTGCTACTGTACAAGGTGACAAGTGTCCCATAGGTCCCATGTCCTGTGTGACAGGTCCGTGCAAGTATTGGAAGTGTCCTAAAGCACCTCATGTGGCTTGGAAACCTAAAATTTTAGGGCCAGGTTGGAAGGAGCTCTGAGCACCCCGGGATTGTGGAAGGTGTCCCTGCCCATGGCAGGGGGCTGGAGCTGGATGAGCTTTAAGGTTCCTCCCAACCCAAAATGTTGCAGGATTCTATGATTTTGTGAAGTGATTCATTCTCCAGTGGAACTGGGCCATCTTTCCAGGTGGTGGAGGAAGGTGAGGATCCAGAGATGCCAGGATCAGTCGTCCTTCAGCAGAACCCCCTGTTGAGCAGGCCAGTGAGGGGAAATCTGTGTTTCGCCAACATGCCCTACATTTGTTTACAAGGCAAAAAGAACTTTCTTGACTGCTCCACCTCCCTGGAAAATGTGCCCTGAGCACAAAGCCCAGCATGACCTCTGAGATAATCTGGTCATAACTCATCAGGTGCATGTTGGCAGCACTTTTGCTGGGGTGAACAGGAGCCAGCAGTGCCAGGATGCTGCTCAGAACTAGAACGTATTTAAATATGCTGATTTAATCTGTGCACCTGCTGTAAAGCTGGTGTGCAAAGATACAATTCCCAGTTGGAAATCCAAAGGGCAGGTGGTAGAAAGCACAGGGTCTGGTAATGTAGGTGTGTTGTGAAGAAAGAAAAATAGGTAATTGTCTTTGGCTGCTGCCAGGAAAATTAAGGTCAAAACCTGGCATTTCCTTTCATAAATCTGAGAATTTCTCGAGGCAGATTAAATTAATAATTCACCATCACCAGAGAGAAAGTCTCAGTGCCATGGCTGGGCAGGATTTAAGGAACATATTGTTGCTTTTTTCCATCCTGCAGGAAGATGGAGTGAGATTTTTCAGGTTACCCAAAAGTACACCTCCTTCTGAAGACAAAGATTTACAAGCAGTGATCATGCAGACACTAGACTCTTTTCATTAATTATTTTCTAGGAAACATTTAATAAATATCCAGTGTAGCTGAAAAGGGGAGCCAGAACAGTGGGAAGAGTCAAAAATAACGCGGTCTGGACTTTTATTTTATTTGCATTGAAGCCAGAATAAATCTATGCAGATAGACATTTCCTTCACTCTTAAAATACTGCAGCAGAGACCAGCCTTGGCCACTGAGAGATGTTGATCTCTCTGGCATGTTGTTCATTGTATAAAGCCCCATTAAGGTCAACCTCATATCCCTGGAATAAAAGTATTAAGTCAAGTAAAACTTCTAAGACTGATCCTTCTCAAGAGAGCGGAGAAATGTATTGAGTTAATCCAATCTTGTTTAGAGATCTCTTTTAGCATGAGGAAAATTTGTTATAGATCCTACTGGATGGTAATTTTCTAGATCTCTCCTTTAAAACTGAGGGTCAGGAAAAAAAGCCTGGAGTGCAACTTTTTGTTTTCCATCAGGGTCCTTCTGCCTTCAGAATCCAATAAATATTAAATATTCAAAGAAAAATTATATTTGGTTTCATGATCATTGTTATTACTCTCATTTCTTCATCATTAATCCCAGAAGAAGTCCCTCTCACCTGCCACAAACTGCCATAAAATGTGCCCAGTTCTTTTAACAAATGTACCATTTCCTGATTTCTAATCTGCTTTAAGCAATTAAAATGTATTGATTTTGATCAGTGCTGTGGGAACTCAAAATGTCTCTCAGACATTTTTAGAGGTTCCAGGCCTTGGTCAGAAGCATTCTAGACCCTGGCAGACAACTGAAAAACAGCTGTGATTTTGAGTTTGAGCCATGGAATGAATTACCAACTTTGGAGGTGGAACGAGCAGTCACAAAGGGTTAGATGGGATAGTAAAAGTAGTTACAAAGTAGAGGGGAAATTTTTTTAGTATTGTACAGGGGGTTTTTAACACATGTACAGGGGGGTTTTCACTTTGTACATGGGGGTCAGAAGTTCTAAGATGGAGGAAAGTGGGCTGAACCCATCCTTCTTCTTTCTTCTTCCTTACCTCCATGTTCTTGGTGATGTTGGCACTCACAGATTGGTTTAGAGTAGAAAAACACTTGGCAACGTAGGTAGTAGGTGGGGAATAATTATAAACATGTTATACGTAATATATCATATAAAAGATAGCAGCAGCCCTGGGCGGAGAGGGAGACGAAGAAGACAGCAGATCGAGAGGATGTCAGGGTGTGTGTGTGCCTCTACCCAGGCCGCTGATCAAATAGCCGCAGTCCAAGAACATAATCTGTTAGATAACTAGCAATAAACTGCCTTGAGACCGAACAGCTAAGCCTGTGGAGTTTTTCTTTGGAAGCACGGGTTGGAGGAGGAATTTCACCACCACATGAGACCCCAGAGCAAGGCTGGGGTTCTCACAAGTGCGGGCAGACGCAATCATGAAACAAGGAGCAATAATGAACTCTCAAGCAGATAGGCAGATTTCCCAAAAAACACTGGATAGGCTTGGAAAAGTCTGAGACTTACGAATATTGGCTGGTTTCGTTGTGCCCAACATCTGGGGAATGCAGCTTCTGGACTAAGATACGGATGATGCAGATGAAGAGGATGAAGTTCACCTGTGGAGACGGGAAGAGAAGGGTAAAACATCAGCATTTTTCTCCAGGGAGAAGAGCCCGCGACTAGAGGGGAATTCCTCTCACTGGGATGGTTTTTGCCATGGAAGGAGAGAACCATGAGCAGACAGAGCCCCGCTGTGGGGCGGGGAGCACATGGGAAACCGACACAGGATGGCATCTTGGGCCTGACATCAGCCTGCTTGGGACTTCGTGTCATACATCCCAAGTATGATGATGTCAAGCCCATCGAGCACAGCTCCGCACGACGTCCTGCTGCGCGCGCTTCCCGCGGTGACACGGGGCCAGCTGCTGAGCCTGGAGAGCCAGGGAAGCCAAACCAAAAGCACGAAGCAGGATCCACTCCAGCTGGCCTCTGCTCCACCCTATTTGATGGTGTAGGATTTGGGTTTTATGTTTTTCACATCCTGTACTGCTTTAGGGTACAGCTCTAAAACTCACTGTCAGCTGCTGTTCTCCTGTTTTATTCAGACAAAACAATTCCTCTCTATGCCTGAAACTCAAGAACATCTGACTGTCTCAGTCCCTGAAAAGTATAAACAAAAGTGAGGAAATGGGGGGTATATGACTTCATTACCTGAAGCTGTAATTTGAGGATTTGATGCCTCAGGTTTTAACTTTTTTTCTTTTTTTGCATATTCTGTGCTGCTTTAGTGTGTGGGTCTGTGTTTCATGGTGAGCTCTCTGCACAGAGTAGGGAGACACAACAATTCCTTCTTCTGCTGGGGACCAAGGACAAATGATCCCAATCTCAGCCCAAGAGCACAAACAACTTGGGCTGGAGAGAGAAAAAAAGGAGGATGGGACTGCCTGGGCTAAAACTGGAATTGGGCAATTAACTCCAATATGCAAATGGACCAGAATTTTTAAAAATGTGATATCTTGTGACCAAGCCCTCTTTTGCTTCCATCTTGGAGCCATCTAGGCAGAGTTATGACTGTGGCTCTGGTACTGCCAGGGTGTGGCCTTTGAAGGCTCTTCAGTAAATATTCTCTTTATTCCCCTTAACTCTGTCCAGCCTCTGTTCCAGCTGCTTAAGGCATCAGTTTAACCCCTGGTATGTAAATGGACCAAACTTGTAACTGTGAGAAAATCTCATGACCATTGTCCATCCTGGGTGTAGGCCCTCTTGGAGGCTTTTGACTGCCCAAGGTGAACCTATTGAAGGCCTTTAATAAATACCCAGTTTTATTCTCTTAATCTTGTCTGGCTTCTGTTTCAGGTTGGCACTCCAAGGCATCATATTGGCCATGTTCTGTCTTGTGCAGCAAGGGATGGGCCTCACCAAAGCAGTGGGGAATATTCCCTCCTGGGATGTCAGACCAGAGCAGTCTGGCTGACACACGGATTTTAGGTGGTTCTTTTCACCCCAAAATCTCACAGTGCTCTGCCAATGTACTCAAGCAATGTGAACATTATTTAACAGCAAAGGTGTAGAGCTAGGAATGGGAATGTCCTGATGGTGTGAATTGAATGCAAATCTGCTTCTTTCAAGGTCCTCTCTGTTGAGTCATCCTGTTACTCATGCAACACAGACAACAGAAAAGCAATGACAGATTTCTGGGGACTTAATTCAGTTTTAGTTTGGCACACAACCCCTTTCTTTATCCTTTGATGGTCAGTAAATGTGAAAATGATTCTAGGTTTTAGAGGCTCAGCAGCTGGAAGGGATTGTGTTAAACCAGCCAATCTGACTCCCTGCAAAAATAGATTATAAGATTTCTTCCAGCAATACCTACACTTACCACAACAATAGATGAATAAAACAGACTGAAGCCCATCTCCCAAATAGACACTCTTTTTTCAAAGCCTTTGAGTGATTAGATATCCATCACATTTCTTGTTTATAATGTATTGCTTAATCACTTCTTACCTATCCTGAGCAATTTATCATAGTTTCTGTTTGTATTTATTTCCTCAAAAAATGGTTTATGCATCTGATTTGGTGGGAAGTAAAATTTATTAGTCAAAACTATCATTATCTAGATCAACTACACTAATAATCATTGATAACACACAAGCTGCTTCAAGGAAGGCAAGAATGGAGCAATTAATAAATTAATAAATTCTGACTGTGTTGGCTTGGAGTGATCAGGAGCAAACACAGAGTGGAGTGTAATGTGTGGGATTGGTATAACCTTGGAATTCCATGGCAGAAGATACAGGAATTGGGATATTGGAGAAGTTGTTTAGATTATTTTTTATCCCTAGAGCATAACCAAAGGTAATCAATGTGTTCCAGTGCTTAACACCTTGTACACAAGACACATCTCATGTACCTTAAAGATCTTATAGATCTTGTCTATGCATTTCTTCCTTACACTGAGATATCAGCTGTATTCCCATGGATTTGGAGGAAATGTTGCATTATCCCCTGGAGAAACCTGCTGTTCATCAGCCAGTGGCTATCATGCCCTTCCTTTAGGACAGATTTATAGGATATCTGCTGCAGGAAAATCAGGAACTGCTGGGTAAATTCTGTTTGGCAATGAGGAAAAGATTTATTGGCCAACAGAAAATACAGACCCATTGATCTGAGGAGAATAAAAGGGTGTGTTTTTTGACTGAAAGTGTATCTCAGGAATGGGAAAATACTATCTATAGCTTTCTAGGAAGATATAAATATTTGGAGATGTGTCATCTGAGTACTATATTTCTTTCTAGTGAGGTAAACAGAGCAAGAAGTCATTATTGAAACTTTCAGTCTGGAATTCCTGCATGATAAATGTCACAGAAAAAAAAAAAAAGTCTTCTTGTAAAAGTCATAATGTACATGGAATAAGTAAGATGTCTAAGGAACGAAGGAAAGATTTCTGTTTAAAGGATATATATTTGATTTATGTTGCTTTTTTTTTTTCTTTTTTTCTTCTTCTTTTCCCACATCCATGGCTTCATTTAAGAAAACTCAAAGCTAAGTTTAACTCCAGTTCATATGATTTTAAGGTTTGGATCCATGCCCAACAGAGCAATGTTCAACAAGGATGGAAGGACCCAGAGTTCCTGAGTAGTGTCCTGGTTTCTATGGTCAGGACTGATCACATCCAGAGAATTAAAATCAAACACTTTGATTGATTTTTCTGGAAATCTCCAAACTCCTCTAGAACTTACTCCAAAAATACTCAGCTGGAATGCAACTCTGTACTGCAGGCAAGAGGCAAATTCCTGAGGGAATTAATCTACTTTTTATCTAAGTGGACATTCATGGTAGTAGGACTGATGTTAATTTGTAGGGCTGACATCTACAACTGAACAAGTCATCCTGGTCAGCTCAGAGGAACAAAACCACTCCTAGCACGGGTCATCTGATGGAATCCAGGCACCCACTGACTCCTGAGGCAAAATGAGCTTTTCCTGGATGTCCAGCCTCCTTCCTCCATCTGCCATGGCCACCCCACCAAGGAGATGGAGGTGGTCAAAGCTGCATCAAGTGAGCTCCACCCTGGTGGCCTGGTCACTCCAACTCCTCCCGTGGTCAGTGCTGCAGGTGAGGGGGTTTATCTGGAGGAGGAATTTCCTCTTCTTAAAGCAAATGTTCAATGCACAGTGGGATTTTACCTGGCAGTGCATTTTCCATGGACATATACAGGACACCTCTCACCACCCCTTCATCCCCTCCCCAGACAGGACTAAAGGTGGCTTTGCAGCCAGCAGAACGTGCTGATACTTTACCAAAATAGACACCAAAATAGGAGTTTTAATGATCCACCAGAATGGGGATTCCACTATTTCCTCCCAGCACCTAAAAAGAAACAAAGCCAGACTTAAAACATCAAGAACAGCAAACAAGCAGGTCTGTAACCTTCTCAGCTTTCCCTAAAAGCTAAGTTTTGCTAGGCTGCGTTGTGTGAAGAGGACTAAACCAAATGTGAATGGGCTGGGAATGGCCAAAACTTGCTTTGCAGTGGCTGTGAGCACTGGTAGGTACAAAATATCCCAGAGGTAATGCCAATGTTTTCCCCTTAGCCATGGGCTGGAGAATGTTAAGCAGAGTGAACATGGGGGAAGATGGTGACTTTTTAATTCCTCCTACACTGAGCTCTGCTGCAGGGAAATTCTATCAAAACCAGGAAAATCTATCAAAATCTATGAAAAGATTCACCAGGGCTCCAGTGCTCTCCACCATCCTGGATGGAGGGGTTTTGATAAGCACAGAGCAATTGGCACCAGCAGAAAAAAATTGCCACCAGCAGAAAAAAACCCATCACATCCTTGAGGAAAAAAAAAACAAAAACAAACCAGCCAGTGGTGGGGTTAGTCCCACTAAATCCAGCAAGCTGCACCTGAGCTGTGCATGGAGTTAGAAAAGTGCCCAGGGTCCAGGGTGGGATTTATTTTTTCTTTCTTATTTATTTCATCCTGAAGTCAGAACTGTCTGCACACACCACCCCTCACTTGCATTCGAAAGCCAACGAGGAAACGAGAGGAAAGGGCTGATGTGGAAATGACTGATATTGCTTGGGACACATTTATCTGCACAGTCAGGTGATAGAAGGTGCCTTTTTAGGAAAGCACCCATGGAAATTGGGCTGGTTTCATGTAAGAATAGATTAGCAGAGCCTACTGCAGACAATTTCACCCAGATTCAGCTCCTCTAATTCCAAATGTTGGCAGTAGGAGATGAAGAGAGGCACTTTTAGGGCACAGTTCTTAAGGCCTATTTTAAGCATCAGCTTTAGGATGATAAAAATTGCACTCCATGGGTTACACTGACTAAATCTGCCCTAACTCTACAGGGAAATGAAGCAAATTTCTCACATACAAATGCTTCCAGTAAGGTGTATGCTGCCCTTTCATTTAGAATTAAAGTGGCCCTAATTATGTCTAGTGCACTTCATTTTTGAATTAAATTGAGACAGTCTCAATAAAGGTCACTTTCACTTGGAGTTAGAATGTTTAAATAAAGTCTTAGTGTTGTTTAACTAATCTTACCTAATTAGGATTTATTTAATCTGGATTAATTTCCTGTAATTTTTTTTCTGCAGGTAATAAAAAAAAAAATATCTGTGTTAGGTATTAATATATTCTGTAAATTCATACTCTGTTCTACTCAGCACAAAAACGTGGGGCTTTAAAGCCTCCAGAAAATGCAAAGAATCCTGTATTTTTATTAAGAATTTTTGGAGATGAATGGGAATATATAGTAAGAAAAACTGGTATCCAGAATGGTTAAATCCTCCTGTCTCTGTCTCGTTGTAGAGGCTATTTATTAACAGAGTAAATAAGGTCAGTTTTATGCAGATAGAGTGAAACCATAAAGGAAGTGAGTAGCCCTCAGGAAATGTGCTGGAATGACTATAAATCAAAAATGCAGTGAGAAATCTGAGCTGCTTCTTGTAGAGAAAAAGGAGCAAATCAGGACACATTTGGAGGGGAAGAATGCATGGGAGAAAATGGACTTAACTCCAGGATGCAAATGCAAGAAGTGAGGGAATGCATACTGAGGACAGAATAAGCACTTAATTCTGCATCTCTCTGGGGTCTTTTTTCTAAAAAACCCTTTCCAATTATTGTAGCCTGACCACTTGAATAAAAGCAAGAATGAGAATTTCAGGATGAAATCCTTTTTACTTGCACACATCTTTGGATAACTCTGGCATCTGCCTCATTTTCTTAGTTGCACTCTCTCTGCTTCTTATACAAAATATCAAAGGCTGCTGCTAGGTTAAAAGGGATGAAGAATAGATCCTAAAATCTCCTGTGGGAGAGAATTGGGTGTGTTTATAAATTCCTTGCTGTGTGTTTAGTATCAATTCTGCAGGGTGCAAAGCCCTGCTCTGAGCACGGGGACAAATGCAATCATCACGGGCTGCTCACAAATTCCCTGCAAATATCCTGACCAAGGCACTGGGAAGTAAAAAGGGGGAGTGATTGGCCTAAAATGACATTTTAGAGAGACCTTGGAGTGTTTCTTGGTGGTAGGAGAGAGGTGCCACTGCTGCTGGGGTTTGGGTTGCTGAGGCTGCAGGGCTTTCCTTGGCCATAAAGGAAAGCAGATTTAGAAAGGAAAGGTAATGGAGTGCACAGGCTTACCCAACATCAAAAAAGTAAATCCTGACAATAGTCCAGGCAGTGATGAACACCGAGGGGGCACCTGAGGAGAGACGAGATGGTGTTGCTGTCAGAAATCATGATCAAATGGTTACTTGATTTCATTACCAGATTATTTAAAATCTGCCTCATTTCTCAGGGCTGTTCTCCCTCCCTCTCCACCTCTCCCGAGTGATGGAAGGGATGCCTTCTCTCAGGGGTGGGAAAATACTTCACATTTTCAACCCTCACGTGCCAAACTGGCAGCGTTGGCTTTCCCTCCCTGTGGCCATGCAAGATCAGCTCTCTGGAACTGCTCCCAGCACGTTGATATTCCTGTTGCAGTGCCCAGAAAAAACCTCCCAGGGGTGAAATGCAAGGAACAGGGATCACTTGAGCCACCTACAGTGTGGACACCTGTAGCTAAGGAGGTCACCAGAGGTTCTCCTCAGCACCAAGGGGCAGAATTCTGTGTTTCTCACACAAAGGTCACCCAGCTAAATGACCTGTGTGCTAAATAATGTTAAATGTTTCATTGAGAACAATAAAAATGAAATATCCCTGGACTCTTTTGGCCTGTAAGGGATCCTGGAGTGGCAAGTTCACACACAGCTGTCTGTAGCTGGCCAGGTGAAGCTGCCTCTGCTCCTCACTCCATTGTCTGCCACGTTAGGGTGGTCTTGTCCCATCCTTGTGCTGGCTCTTTTCTCTCTCATATTTTTGTCTGGATTAAGGTTGGAAATACTCCAAGAAGGACACGCCTCTTTGCTCTGTGTTACTCACAGATTGTCTACACTTTATTACCAGTGATTTCCAAGTGCATTGGTACTAAACCCAGTAAAAACTGTAATTAGTGCATCCAAATTATTAATTCATGCGTAATCCCTTCCAGATCCATCCCTGATGCTCTTGCAAATGATGGATGACTGAAAGGCCGAAAGTCCCCTCAAGCACTTGCCATGCTCTGCAACTGTCCTGCACCCAAGCGACCTCAGGAAACATTGGGAGTGCAAGAAATTTCCTTTTATTTTAATCATTTGTGCACTTTTCTTTACAACCTGCCAGCTCTCCAGTGCTGAAATAAAGAATATCAGGAGCCCAAGGTGAGATTAACAAAGGTCTGACCTAAGTAACTGAAATGAGACCTGCTCCCATCATCCCTCCTTCTGCCCAGAGCATGGAGAATCATCTCTCCTTGGCAGTGTGAAGCCGAGTGTAGCTCCTGTCACTTCCAATGGAAGTTACTCCATGGATAATTGAGCAAATCCTGAGTCCTGGCATGTTCCTGGATGTGGCACAATTTTATTTTAACTTTTCTTCTCAAGATTCTTCCCTGCTTGTATTTTTTCTCATTTTCAGCTATTGAGAGCAGGCAGTAGAAAGTTATCTGCTTACTTAAATAGAAATCTTCAATTAAATGGCATGAAGGGGAAAAAAGATCTCTGTTGCCTTTTCGGAGAAATAAAAGAAATTGCTCTGGTAGGATTAAATTGCATAAGTCAGCAATTCAGTTGTTAGTTACTTTGTGAAGAGCTTAATTCTCTCTTTCATAACCTTTTAAAATTTAATTTTGTTTTGCTTATTTTATTTTATTTTATTTTATTTTATTTTATTTTAATTAAAATTTTTATTTTATTTTATTTTATTTTATTTTATTTTATTTTATTTTATTTTAATTAAAAATTTTATTTTATTTCCATTATGTAATTTTAATTTACTTTTATTTGATGCATTTGAAACCAGATTTGCATTAAGGCTGGAGAAATCACCAATGCAGTGAGCAGCAGGTTATCAGCATTAGCACACAGGTGATGGGATCTCAGGGCAGCTGGCTGGCCTGAATTCAGTGCCTGGTTCAGTCCAGGACTTCTGCTTTGCTGGGATCCATCCTTACAATTTAAGGTGATGACATCAAATTTGGAATCCCAGTCAGGATCAAGGAATTCCTTCCCAATATCCAATCTAAATCTACTCTCTGTCAGTTTGAAGCCATTTTCCCTTGTCCTGTCCCTCCATCCCTTGTCCCCAGTCCCTCTCCAGCTCTCCTGGATCCCCTTTAGGCCCTGGAAAGGCTCTGAGCTCTCCCTGGAGCTTCTCCTCTCCAGGTGAACATTCCCAGCTCTTCCAGCCTGGCTCCAGCCCTGGAGCAGCTCCATGACCTCCTCTGGAGTTGCTCCAACTGCTCCACATCCTTCTTATTTTGGGGACCCCATGGCTGGATGCATCTTTGCAGGTGGAGCCTCAGATGGGGAGAGCAGAGGGACAGAACCACCTCCTTCGTCCTGCTGCTCACAGTTGGATTTTTGGGCACGTTTTGGATTCATGCCCAGCCTCTCATCCACCAGCCACTCCAAATTCTTCTTGGGACTTAAGGGAGGCTGGGTGCTGTCTACAACACCCCTGCCCCACCTGAGTGCCCGGGTATCTGTGCTGAATTCCTGCTAAAAATGCCAGTCAGGATCCCCTCCTGGGGGAGAGGCGTACCCCAGCCGATCAGGATGTACCACCAGAAGTATTTCCTCTCCGAGAAGAAGGAGATGACCAGCAGGGTGTGAAGGTACAACCCCTCCACCAGCAGCCAGAAGAAGTTGGCCATGATACAGTACTGGAAGAAAACCATCATGGCCTTGCAGCCCACCTGGAAGAGAAGAAATGAACAGTGGTGAATTGTTGGAACCTTGGCTGCTGAGAATTTTGGATTTCTGTGCTGCCAGGCACTGACCCCCAGGAGAACACTGCATTGACCTGAGGCTGTGGAGAAGCTTCCAAAATGGAATGAGAGAACTGGGATTGTCGGTGAGGAGTTTGAATAGAAGTGTGTGATATCACAGGGTGGGAAACTCAGAGTTTGAGGGTTTAGAATACAGGAATAGATATAAAGCAAGATGGGGGTTTTAAAGCAGCAGCTAGTCCTTGTTCTTCACCTCCTTCTCGATGAGTTTAAGTAGCATTGTGTAATTAGACTTAAAAAATCTGCATTACAGACCATGAGTAGTTAGTTATTAAGTTAAAACTAAAAATAACTTGTGTCATTTCTTGATGAGACAATTTATCCTTAAAATAACCTTATAAAGAAAAAGATACAGCTCCCTTTTTGACTTATTAAAAAGAAGTACTTTAAAACTCACACTTTATGAGACTGTAATGTAAATAAGAACTAATAAACATTGGAGGGAGGTTGTAGACAGGTCGGGGTCAATCTCTTCTACTGGGCAGCAACTGGCAGTACAAGAGGACAGAGTCTCAAGCTATATCAGGGAAGGTTTAGGTTGGATATTAGGAAAAAAAAATTCACTGCAAGAATAATAAAATACTAGAATTGTCTTCCTAGGGAGGTGGTGGAATCACCATCTCTGGATATGTTTAAAAAAAGACTGGACTTGGCACTTGGTGTTACGGTGTAGTTGTGGTGTTAGGGCATAGGTTGGACTTGATGATCTTAGAGGTCTCTTCCAACCTCGTTATTCTGTGATTCTGTGATTCTGTGATTCTGTGAGTCCAAAGAAGAAATACCATCTCACACATTTAATCCCAACCTTAACAAAAACCCAAAACAAGCAAACAAACAAACAAACAAACAAATGAACCCCTAAAAAAATCCACATAGGACTGCCCTGTGTGAGGAATTGTAGCACATTCCCACAGGAAGGAAATTTCCACCAAACTCCCAGGGCCCCTTGCTTTGGGTGTACCTTTGGGATTGCTTTGTGCAGCACCAGAACTCCTTATGGAATGAATTCTGTGGTGAAAATTCTACAAGAAGTTGCTCCTCTTTAGGAAAAGAAGGACTGGGATATGTGTTTTTAAAATAAAGGCTAGGCAGGAGAAGCACACAAAAGCATGCACTGGTTTTATTGCTCTGGAAGAGGAGAGATTTGAAAAGTGAAGGTGAATTGTTTACCTTCAGGAAATGAATAATTAAACACACTAACTTGCTGTGTGGAGATTTCACTGCAGCACAGGTAATGGGAACAGTTCCCTTAGCAAAGAAATAAATACAAATGGAAATCTCTGACACTTGGCACCCACTGCATCATTACACATCCTCGAGATGCTGGCTCAGCAATTGCCCTGTTGCTTTTGGTGTGTCTGCCTGGGTGACACCCTGCACTTTCTGGGGCAAGTGTTTGCTCTCAGTCTCTGGTTGGAGACTCTTCCCTGGCACCCTGTACGTGTAGAATGTTTAATTTAGAGCAACAATTTTAATTTAGAGCACCTGTAACAAGACCTTATTTCCCTCTCTACTCCTTTCCTGCTGAAAGCTGTTGCTACGAAACACTGGTTAAAAGGAGAAGTGTGGAAAGAGTTTTTTCAATGCCACATGTTTTGGGGGGTACTGTCCCCACCCTCACCCCTAAACCCATGAGTGTGTGACCCTGGGGACCCTGATGGGCTCCTGGTAACCAACTTCTGTGCACATCAGCTGCCTCCTGTGAGGCACAGCACGGACACAGAGCTGCTGAGGGGTGCTGGAGGCAGAGGAGGGCATGAACTCCCTTCCAACTCAGAATATTCTTGTGTGACTTCAGGGGCTGCCTAAAGGAGGGGGGGTGATGCTGTTGAAGCAGGACAGGAATGAAATTACTCCACTTCAGAAAGTGAGAGAGTATAACTCTGATTTATTTCAAAATACATCACCCTTTATAGAGAGCTTCATCCACACCAATTCCATTGGTCCTGAAGTGAAAACACTTCACACTGTTGGTGTGCAGTGAATGACACACAGCTGCAAAACCTAACTATAAACAAAGTGAACAACAAGAGAGATAAAGAACTTATTTATATTCTTTCACAGAACTTTCTCAGGCTTCTGCCTGGTTAGAAATTTTCCATTTTCTCTTTGACTGAATCTGAGACCTACAGGGAGGTGGCACAGGGCTGTGCTGGCAAAGCTGGTGATGCAGCAGCCTCATCCCGATGGCATCACCACATGTTTGGTTTCTCTCTGATTTTGTGTCCAGGTGGCTGTGGGACACTGCCACCTCTCCTTCCTTTCCCCCAGGGCCTGAGTGCCTGCTTGGTGTGTCTGCAGCCAGCAGGGATCTGTGTGTGAGTGAATTTCTTCATGGTTTCACTCTGGGGGTGTTTGGCTCTAATTCAGCAGCTCCCAGGGGAGGTTTAAGGGGGCAGATCTGCTGCATCTCAAACTGTAAAACAAGGATTTCCTTTGGGGATTCTACACCAGGGCATCACTTCTGGATGGCTGCACTGAACTCACGGCAGAGGCTGGAGCACAGCACAAGGGGCTGCAAGGCTTCACAGGACAAGGGGAGGCTGCTCACAAAGAGTGCACGTGATTTCTGCCCAGCAGAAAAGGAAAGGAAATCCATCAGGAAAAGATTTCCAGCCTGACTTTGCAGAGCTATTGCTGTACAGAGAGAAAGCTCTGCTGAACTTGGGCTGTAGCAGCAGAAATTGCAGATCCAAGTCCATCCCCTTGTCTCCCAGCACTGGCAAACATCAATTTTGTGGCAGTCTCTGGCCCTAATTCCTCCCTTAAAGGGGTGGTGGCTTGTCACAAAGCTGAGGTAGATCATGGTTAGCAGTTGGATCCAATCATACATGAGGTCTTTCCAACCTTAATAATTCTATGGTTTTAATTAATTTATTTATTTTATTCTTTTATTTCTCCATGTATTTGGGCAGCAGCTGGGTTTTGGCAACTTCTTCTCTGCAGAACCTGCAGCAAATCAATTCTTTGCTCCTTGCTAAGGGATATTTGCTTATTTGAGCATTTCCTACCACTCCTGGAATTTTTGGTTTTACCTGGAGAAAAGACCTTTTGTGCACAATTTTGAGCAGTAATGTCATGCAGCCAGGCACAGGGATGTTCTGCACTGGGACACAGTTGGATGCACTGTCCTTTAAATTAAATGTCCTGTCCTTAAAATTAAATAAGGATGTTTTTTCACTGCCTGGGCTTGCTACTGCTGCCTAAAGTGGGTAAGTTTAAAGTAGATATTTCCGTGAGAGGTGCTGATGATCCCATTGATCCTCTTTGACAATGGCACATTTTCAAAACAGCCCTTCATGGTTTTTGGGAGAACTTATTCCAAGCTCCACCTTCCTGATTGATTAAATTCAGCCTCAGACAGGCTGGTTTAATGCTGGGGAATAAAATCCTCTTTTATATAAGATATCTTACCCTTTAGATGACAGACACGGGGCAGAGATGAGCCATTACATCTCTAGAATTTATTTTTTTTCCATAAAGAGCAGACCTCATGATATGTCACTGTTGAAAGACTAACATGGGCTATTTTTAGAACAGACATTTTCAAGAGGAAAAGCTGAATTACATCACTGCTTTTGCTACTCTCTCTTCTTCCACAGGCTCATTTACAATTTTTTCCCTTGTCTTTCCTCAGGGATCTTGCTCTGCTCACGTCCACAGGAGATGTGGCAGTGAGATGGTTTTTTCCTTGATTTGTGGCTCCTCTCTTGTTCCTCTCGTTAGTGCTGCATCAGGCACGTGCCATTTGCTTTTCCCATGAAAATCTCTTCCTTTCCACATGTGCTTCCAATGGCTGAGCTCTGGGAAGGGCTCTGCCTCCAGCCAACAAGGCATTGGGCTCTTGGCCCCTCCTGAAAAACTCCTGGACACCAACACATTTGTGCTTTTCTGCAGATTCCTCACAGTCAATAAGAAAATTTCATTTTGATTATTGTAAAAGTTTGCTTGAGGATGGGGCCTGTCTTAGACCTGCTCGAGGGCTTTCAAGAGGAAGAGAACAAGAAAAAAGAAGAACAAGATGGAGAAACAACCCTGCCAGGCTTTTTCCTTGTGCCCAGTAGCACATTTTACTTTTGGGTAATGTTAGCCCTGAGAAAAACATCTTTCTCTTCATTTTTTAGGAGGATCAGCTGGTCACTACACAAGTTTTACAGCCCACCTATAAAAATACAGTTCAGATGCTGGAGGCAGTAATTATCTCAGAGCTGAATCTGCACTAAATATACATATATCATTCTCCTCAGTAGCAGTAGCTCATTCATAGCTCCTAAAATTTGTCAGTCTGGACCAGCTGATGAATTTCTCAAGCTCAATAAGACCAGCTTAGCTGGATGAGAATTGGTACACAAACATCCATGATCAGCCTCCTGTGAATGCAATAAAATCTATAAAAAAAGCAATCACTCCACAGAAATGCCAACACAAGCCTCCCTTGCCTTCTTTAGTGGGGATATGGTTTGTTACAGGTTTAGGATTTGGGTTCAGGAAGGATTTAGACCAAAGAAGTACAAAGGAGCACGTGGGTGATTGATACCCCACCTGCCACAGCTGGACTGGGAACACTGGAGTTTCACTGCCCCACGAGAATCCCCCATCAGCTGTTCCTCCCCCTGTACAGAATTATGGAGTAGTTTGAGCTGGAAGGGACCTTCTAAAGGTCCCACCCTGCTTGACCTGTCCTGTGTATGGACACAACCCCTGTGCAGACCCCATGTTCCTCCCTCTGCAGCTTCCTGCCGTGTGGAAGGGTTGGGGCAGGGCACCAACACTTCTTTAAGTCAGATTAAGGATATATGGAAGACATCCCATGGAATCCTGGTCAGTGATGCAGCTCCTGGCATTATTGATGGAGTTGGGACATCCAGCAAAAAATGTGGGCTCAGGTTTGCCTCAATCCATCAATC